TCCCTCACACATCGTCGTCTCCCCCAACCCCATCGCCGCCGCATCGCCGCTGCACCACCGCCGCACCACCGCCGCACCACCGCCGCGCTACCCCTGTCGCATCCCTTGTCTCCGCCGTACCACCTCGTTGCCGCCCCTGTCGCTCGTCTAATCAGGTTTGCTCCAATGTGATCAATGTGATATCATGCAACTACGGTGTGATCATCGAACACATATACATATTGTGTCTAACCTCATCTATTGCATCAACTAAATTGTTAAACTTAAGCCCCTGTCACTTCTCCTAAATGTGAAAAATTCTCAAATGTCCGTAACTAAGAGATGGTGGTGTTAGCGAAACTTGCTTTTAGGGAATTGAAATCAGTTAACCACAAACCAACAACTAGGCTTTATATATGTACAGGAACTTCTCTCTGATCTGATGGTTGCTATTCTACTTTCTTGTTAAAAACTTATAGTACCATTCTAGATAGCTTTTCTCATCTTATTGTGAACTTGCTTTTGAGAATTTGTTTGATGATCATSGTTAGCAGAACGTGTGAATACTTAACTGAATGGTTGCAAACTTGATTAGCTAGCTGTTAAAGGTTGCAAGCTTGATTAGCTAGCTGTTAAGTTGAATGGCGATGATCTAGTTTTACAGAATTCAATTTGGTTCAGTTGGCTCTGTCCTGTATATCCCAAATAGGTAGCCAGGGCTTGTTGGTAAACATCCCCTAAATGTTGCTCCTAACATTGGTTTGATGTGGATTATTAAACACTTCTAAGGGGTCGTTTACCAAACACTTACCCGGTAAACACTTACCGGTAAAATTCAAGACTATTATTTACCTACCGGGTAAGATTTTAGTTAATAAAAATGGCTTTCTATGCAACAATTTACCCGGTAAGAGCTGACCGTGGTAAGAGTCATTGCCTTCACTTACAGGGTAAGACTCTAAGTCTTTGCCGTGTTCTTACCGGGTAAGATTTTTGGTCCTTACCATATTCATCCGGTAAGGTAATATAACTTGGTAAGAGCTTACCCAAGTAAATATTTGGTAAATAACCCCTAAGTAATGTATTTAAAAATCAACGCTATATCATCAGCAAAAAGCATACACCATGGTATATCATCTTGTATGTCTATTTTAAGCTCATTCATAACTACAACAAGAGACAAGGCTGCCTGTTGCTGTTACCCCATAACTGTAGGGAAANGTATGTACCATCACAAATCAACGTTATAAAACAAGGAATTTGTCTCAAGTTCTGTTAAGAGTAACGAGTAATGTTTTTCTCAAACTTCCATTTATTTTTATTGTTGTTCCACTTCCCAATAACCAAGTAAAACTATAACGTGACACCCACTTTTTTGCCGAGTTTGCAGTTATTTTTTAGAAATTTAACATATGACATTATAAAAATCTGTACTATTTGATTATGTGAATTTTAATTTAACTTATTTATTTTCTCCTCTTTCCTCTCATCCGTTCTTTCTCATGTTTCTATTTCTTTAGTTCCTACTCGATCACTTCTTTCTTTAATTCTGAAATCCCTCAACGCCTCCAATGCTTTTTGTTCATCGCCCCCCTCTTCTAGTACGAAAAAATATTCAACATCTTTGAACGATTAAGGGTCAAAATGGATAGAAAAAAGGAAGATTTGAAGTTTTGTTAGACCAATTGAGAAAAAAAAATAATCGTTACACTAACTTGAAACAAAAACAAATTCGTTTTGCCTTTAACGATTCTATTGTTGAGGTCACCACCACGTTCCTGAAACATACAAACATGTTTTCACATCAACAACATTTAACTTATTTAAATGGTTTACCTATCAAAAATGGTATGAAATAAAATAAAAAATGAGAATTTGTTACGTTAATGAAGAAAAAATTGAACATTACACTAATTACGAGTCAAAACAAACTTTGTTGTATTTTAATACATTTCCCCTAATCTTATTAAATATGAGACAATGTTCTATAAATTTGGATTTCATCTATGGAGATTTAATAGCGGGGTTTCAATGAAGCCAGAGGGGGTGTTTGGTTTATCGAAATGTTTGTAAGAGATTTGCGTTTTGTGGGATGATTTAGGTGATGTTTGTTTTTTATGAGATGCTGAAGTCTGAGTCCTATTTTACTTCTGATTGTTAAGAGATGGTGCTGAAGTCTGAAATCTGAATCATTAAGACTGTTTGTTTTTGTAAACTAACAAATATCTGCATTTGTTTAAATTGTCTAATTTACTAATTAGAAAACTATAATATTGAATTTATAGATAAATTTATACAATTTCACATATTTATTTATCACCATTACGAAATTTACATCTAAATTATATAATTAGCATTCATTTAAACGAAATTATGTCACTAATAGTATTTAGCACATTTAAATCCTATTAAAATACATCAACTGAGAGAGGTGAGAATCGATTTAGTAAGAATCAATTGAGAGAAATGATTAATTAAGGTTAATTGAATGAGAAACGTCGTTGTTGAGGATTTGGAGAAAGACAAGAGGCAAATAAGAGGTTGGTTTATCTATGACCAGATAAGAGAACAATAAGACTTAAGTGTCTCTGAAAAATTGAAAAAAACAAATAGTCTGAATAACTCTACCTCTTAACGAATCAGACACAAGAGGCTAATAAGAAATTTGTTTTGGAAAAACAAATGAAGCCTTATAATTGGAGGATTTAAAATACTTGGTATGTTTGGTTTGTAAGATTAGGAATTGAATTGAATTTCATTCTTTATATGTAATTTACAAAAAAAAAAATTAAATGTAATTAAATTACTTTTGTTTAATTGATTATTACAAAATGTATGTTTTTAACATATTTTAATATAGTATTATATACAAATCTTAGGCAATCACTTAAAATACTAAGGTGGTGTTTGGTTTCATGGAACGATTTCAAGTGATTTAGATTTCGTAGAAAGATTTGAAATCTTTAGTATGTTTGTGGGACTTCAATGAAATCTCGGGATTTCAAATCCAAGCAATCCTTCAATCCAAACCTATGATTGGAATAAAATTCATATCCACATCCCTTCAAATCCTAACCAAACGGCGCCTAAAAGAACCCAAGAATCCTACTCCTACTGCACTTCAGTTTTTCCTTTCGCAATTATTCTTAATCTTCTTTGTCTCGTTTATTTAGAAGTTGTTTCGTAGATGCTAAATGATTTGTTTCATAATAATTAAGTGATCARAATGATTAAGAAACTCTATATGATTTAATGTCAAATGAAAAATAATGTTTGGTAGGAAAGTCTAAATAACAAAAAGTTTACCATTTTAACTTTTTTTATGATTTATATCTGAATAAAATATGATTGTTCTATAAGTGTTAAAAGTTAATGAATTACCTTACATAGATATAACTTTACGAATATAGATTACAAATAAACAGATGACTTTGCCCGTTATAACTTTTCAAGTATTATCTCAAGTAATGTAATATCATATGATTGTCATGCAAATGAACAACAACGATAACAACACTGAATTAAAACCAATCTGATCACATCAAAGTTTATTAATACTGCATTCACTTGTCCCAATTCACCATTCAACTAATCCCAATGAAAGTCTACCTAAAATAAGATTAACTCAAATTCTCGTTTATCATGGTAGCAACACAAAATTCAGTTAACAGCTTCCATTCAGATCAATGAACCTAACACATGAACAACAACTTCAATGAGAATTACACATCAACGTTCGTCTTATTGGCAAAAGCTTTCAAAATTCATCGAGTCCTTCCTGTTTGAGTGGTGAACCAACAAACTAGACAGAGACCCTTAAGAGACAAAAAAAACAACCTCTTAGCTTTGTTATTAAAACTTGTTTTGATGTTGTATAAATACCCATGATATCAATGAGAACTATTGAAATTGTTTTGGGAAGGTTCATCAAGGAAATTTCCTAGACTACGTCTTGGAAAATTGCGGTTGTCTGAGACTAAGCCCAAGCACACGATGCTAGCTCATGGACTTGAACCTAGGGAATATGGGATATTCAATCACATCCACCTAGGCCTTTTGCCAACCGCCACCACCCTTGTGGTTATATTGAAGTGCTCTACAATACATAAATTTACATGGTATCAAAGCCGAAACATAGGATCCCGCAAACACATGCAAAAAATTAGTAGCCAACCTTAAACCAAAAGAGGACAGGGATGACCATGACCCAAGAGGACGCATCGGCATAAACTTCTTCCATGCCATCGGTAGACCAAAACTCTCCCTACTATATTCATGCATCGGATTATCCTCGACAAATGCACATAAACAATGTGTTAAACGACAACAACTATGTGGATTGATTCAAAGTGGATTTATAAAATCAGGTACAAGCCCACTAGGGAATTTGAGCAATTCAAGGCATGCCTCATGGCAAGAGGGTTCACACAAATAGAAGGGATCGACTTCCACGAGAATTTGTTGTAGTAGCCAAGTTAGTTATAGTGTGAAGTTTGCTTGCAATTGCAACTAAGAAGAACTAAATCCATCAAGTGGATATAGACAATGCATTCCTACATAGGGAACTAAGGTTGCTCTAGCTAAGAGTGAAAAAGAGGCTAGGGCCCTTAGGTCATCTTTGGTGACAGTGAACGATGAAATCGCTAGTCTGAAGGAAGAGTTGAAGGCTCTGGAGGCATGCACTCTATTGAAAACAAGGGCTTGCTGCAAAAAACCCGTATTTTTTGTACGTATAATTTTAGGTGTTAAATGTATCTTTGAATTTAAAATAAATTTCAATTGATATCTTGAAGTGGTTAGGCTTGGTGCTAAAAAGATATGGAAACTCATTTTTGGGAAACTTTTCATCAAGCCCGTGAAAGGTCCCCTTCATGGCAATTAAGGTAGGAAGAAAGATTTTTGGCAGCATTTTTTCACGCCTGTGAAGGGGACAAAATTGGACCTGCAGCTCTTTAAATTCGAAAATTTCTCCTTTTTTCTCATTTATTTCACCAACTTATTATCTTCTCTCTTATTTCAGGTCCACGCATATTTAATCCACCAGATCGAAACCTTCTTGAGAATTTTAGAGATTTGGAACTAGAGATTCAAGTTTTTTTGGGTGGAGCTCAAGATTTTCATTTTCGCCATCTCTTTTTGACCATTGTTGACCTTGGTTTTTGGGTTTTCTCCTAAAAACCATTTTGGTCCGATTTTCTCAAGGATCTTGACGACTTGCTCGTGGTTTTAAGTTCCTAGAAGCTAAAGGTAAAATCTAGCTCCCATCTCTTGAATCTAGGCTTTAAACCATTTTCACCAACAACTCTCATTTCCTCTTGGGTTTTCTTTGTTTGTGTTTGCGAGTAAATGAAGTATTCTTGAGACCCTTGAATCTTGGATCTAAAGTCTAACTTGGGGATTTCAAGTCTACAGTAAAGAAAGCTCAAGATTTATGGTAAAACCTATATTTAGCATAAATCTAGCAATGTGAATTCAAGTTGCTTTGTAAAAATTGTGTACATGCCAAAATTTCAATTCTGAAGTATTAATATGTTTCACTTGATATTTATCAAGTATGTTGGTTATTTGGTGAGTTTTGCATATTTGGTACATTTGGTTAATAAATCCTGAAATATGCATGTAATTGGGATATTCGAGTATTTTGATAAATAAATCATAAGAGTGTTCTCTTGATGATTTATTCCTCTTATGGGATATTTGTGGTTTATACACTTTTGGTATTTTAATTTTATATATCATTCGGAAAATGTCAATAGTTGAGTTGCTAAGCATATTTTGAGTGTCGTTACTTATTTGGAAATGTTTAATTGAAGTTACAGTGTGTTTTCGAATTTTGCCTAACCTTTAAACCGATAATAAGGGTATTCACAACTTTTGAGCATAAGTTGTATAAACTATGGATAATTGTATTTTATCKGTTTATACTGACTTTTATTGAATAGTCAATTGAATTATTGAGTTATTGGCTCGATTTTGACTTAGATGAGTCGTGAGTACATTTGTTCAATTTTATCTGCTCTATGTTGAGCTTAGGACGTGATATGCATTTATTGCAATTTTTTATTTGAGAATTACATATTTTGAATGGTGTTGGTCATTCATTTAAAATCATGTAATTTAGAATGTAATGCATTTGATCCATATGCATATGTGCCAGTCGTGTTTTGCCAAGCGARGAGTTTTGATGTTCTCGTTTTGGAGCCGTAGGGTCAAATCAAGTGAGGAGTTTTCTAATGTTCTCAGCTTGGCCCCTTTTTGGTTGTGACAAGAGAGAAGTTTTGAGGTTCTCTTCTTGATATCAATGGTTTGGGACAAACTAAGGAGTTTTGATGTTTTCGCTTTAAAACCTTTGATTTTAGGCAAGTGACGAGTTTTGATGTTCTCATCTTGTAACCTGGGATTGACTAAGTAAAGAGTTTTGATGTTCTTATTTTTGCCTCAATAAGAGTAATTACCAAGGGTTGTATGTCATGGATGATTTAGTCGTCAACATCTCGATGTAGCTTACTTAGTGTTCTTTCACTTGATGAAGACAGGTCTCCTCCGTTACCAAAAGGTGTTATCTTTGGATAGTCGTCAATAGCGAGCCTACACCATTCCACCGGAATTTCACCGAATCTTGATACATATTAGAAACTTGATTTTTAAAATATTTTAAAGCACCCTTAAAATTAAACGAATGCACTTTAAAAAATCCAATCCATTGCGATAATCAAGTGAGGGCGTTAGTTTGGTGTAAATCATAGGAACCAACGTTGTGATTTATTTAAAATGTGGAGGGTAGTTGGGAAGAGTAGAGTGGGGGCAGCGAAGACAGGTACTGCAATTTCATGTTTTGACCGGTCAAACCTTCTATCCGTGGGTTGGCTCTTAAGATTTTGATAAATTCAGGAATCTCCCCTTCATATAAAATTGCTAAATGCAAATGCCACCTAACATTGGGATTTTCAATTTTATTTTTATTTTTCTTTAATTTTTGTAAAGAACATGGAATATGATTATCTTTAATGGTTACTTCATTTATATATGGAGAAAGACTTGGAATCATATAAAATAAGGTTGTTTTTATGAGAYAYGTGAGACAAYATTTTTACATTTGAAACTTCATAACAAAATGTGGTGAAGATGACATTTACAATGTTTTTCCTGTGAAGGTTCGGCTTTTTAGGAAATGGTCAAATTTTGTTTTTATAATAATCTTGAAACCGAGTAATTTTTAATAGATACTTATTAACATTAATATTTTTTATTCTTTTATTAAATAAAAATAATCCGTCAATCTCAAAGTTTATTTATAATCATCTTTTTCTTAGGAATTTGTTTATTTCATTTTCATAATAACAAAAGAAATCGTTATTTTTTTTTTCAATTTACAAATATTTCCAGATTTATTTATATTATAGTTGTGATTTTCTAGAATTTGAGTATATTGTTTTGTTTCATTTGTAAAATTCATGAATAAGTTRATTTCCTTACAAATTTCATTAATGAAATCATGTTATCCAGTTTTTAAAATGTTTCCTTAATGAAACTAATTTTATTTTGGTTAGGAACCATGAAACTAATTTCACTAATGAAATCATGTTATTCAGTTTTCAAAATGTTCCATTGATTGAATCATATTTACTTTCGTTAATAAAATCAATTTCATTTTGGTTAGGAACCATGAAACCAATTTCACTAATGAAATCATGTTATTCAGTTTTCAAAATGTTTCATTATGAAACCAATTTCATTTAACTTATGAACCATGAAACCAATTTCATTAATGAAATCATGTTATTCAGTTTTCAAAATGTTCAATTGACCGAACCATATTTAGTTTATTAAGAAAACCAATTTCGGTTTGGTTAGGAACCATGAAACTCATTTCACTAATAAAATCATGTTATCCAGTTCTTGAAATGTTTCATTAACTGAACCATCTTCAGTTTCATTCATGAAACCACTTTCACTACTGAATCCAATTCATTAATACAACAAGATTATTTTGGAACTATTACRAAACCATAATACATATTACTGATGAAACCAAAAATATAAAATACAAAAACYCAAATCTCCATACAATGTGTTTWACTTACAGAACACCCAATTCACTCATGAATTATATGTAAAAAAATTTATACATGAATACTTGTATTTACGGTAATAGTGGAATTGATTTGCAAAAGATTCTCTTCTTTATATTCATGTAGGTTAAATTGACTATTATAACTTTAAGAAAACWTTTTTTGGTGATCCATGTGAATTAATTAAAACCTTACCAAAAATAATCTCCTTCGATATTTGCCATAGATCAATTAAATGGATTGGTATGATTAGTTTGTATAAATTATATAGTTTGTAAATAAACCTCATCTCTCTCTCTCTCTCTCTCTCTCTCTCTCTATATATATATATATATATGGTATATTTTAAATGCAACCATGTGCATTTGTACAACCAATGCAACTCAATTAATTGAKATATTTATGAAAATTATGAGAGTTCATATATATACTAGAAAGGAACTCGCACAATGCAGTGAGATACATCTCTATTTTAATGTTTCGTTTTATTTTTTTTTGTCTCAATTGATGTTATAATACGATTTTATGTGGTTTTGACAAAGCGATAATATTTTTATTTTTGAATAAAATATAAATATGAAGATATATCGTAAAGAAGTGGAAAAAATATTGATATTAGTTACAAACTAACTATTTAAAATTTCTCATTTTTTGTGTATTTCTTTAATTCATTTTTTTATTTTTGGTTTAATAATATATTTTTTTATAAACATAATAATGAAGTATTTTGTTAGAACTAAATGATTATCCTAATTATATTTTATATTTTTTATTGTTAAAATGAGATGTTTATTCTCTATTTGATTATGTTTATCTGCAGTTAGTTACACGAATTTAAACATGAAGTTTTAATAAGTTGTATTTATGCACAATTTACTTGTAATCTTGAATTTTAAGTAATATGCATCAATGAATAGTATTTCATGCATAAAAAATGGTTTTTAAGAGTTTTTGTCAAATGTTTTATAATATAGTATATATATATATATACACACACACACACACACACACACACACACATATATATATATATATATATAAAACATGAGATCAGACTGTTTTCATGAGACAAGTTTTTCACACTTGAAACTTCATAGCAAAACGTTGTGAAGGTAACTTTCACAATGTTTTTTCTGTGAAGGTTCGACTTCTTTTTACCTTCACAGCGTATTGTTGTGAAGTTTAAGTGTAAAAAACTTGTCTCACGTGTCTCACAAAACAGTCTGGTCTCACGTGAACCTAACATATATATACATATATGAGCAATCAAATACAAACCGCTCCCTTTTGTACAAATTGTACAAACTAGCATCATACAATARCATAATTCCATTTAATTTCCTTTATTTTTAATTTATAAGGGTATGATTGTCCTTTGACTTTATAATAGATAATTTTAATAATATTTTAATTGTGTCTAAATCGGGAAGATTATATAGATTAGAGTTTTTTAGGAAATGATCAATCAATTTATTTTTATAATAATCTTGAAAACAGGTAAATTTTTAATAGATACTTACTAACATCAATAAAACAGGGTAATCTCCAATGAAACAAGCTCAAACWGTTTAATRAAACATGGACATATATGATTACATCAGATTAATATGTATAACACATATAATGAAACARGTTTATATTCATAGGTATGTATAACAGTTTGTAATGAAACAGATTCATAGGTTATATATGATTGTATCAGGTTCATATGTATAACAACTGTAATGAAACAGGTTCATATGTATAACAGCTGTAATGAAACATGTTTTTCCYCGTTTTACCCTTCCGTATCTCTAATATGAATTCTTTTTTTTTTCTTTTTTTTACTTTACTTATTTAGTTTCTTCAAATCTTGGTTTTTCACCAAAAAAATAGATGGATGTGATTAGTTTGTAAGGTTTATATCAAATGAATAGTTTGCAAAGTATATATATATATATATATATATATATATATATATATATATATATATATTAAAATCAAGTTAAATTATATATTGAAATTCTGACATTTTTATGATAAGGAAATTAATAAGTAGGTACAGATTTAGCCTACTCCTTGAAGTATACGTCTTCTATTGCAATTTAAACGATTTTTTACTGATTTCTTCATGTATATATCGATTTTAAATAAACTTTTATTATATTTTTATTATWTTGATTGGATCCAAGGAAGGGTCCGAATAGGCATAGCAACCTACTATTTTGACTTCTTTGACTAGGACAAAATACATAACAATGATTCATGATGCRTAAAAAACTGACCATCTATATCGTATCTAGACTGAATCAAAGACTGGGTCTTCAATGACTGACAACGGGAATAATTCGAGCGTATGGKTCCGAATCAAATGAACCAAAAACGATTTATAAAAGAACTCGTTTAAGACTAATTTAAATGATATAAAGCAAGACTACCATTAACTTAATACAATAATACTATGTAAAAGTCATGTATAAAATTTTAAAAAATGTTTTTGTAAGTTATATTTCTTCTGTTTAATAAATAATAAAATCTTTTATTATTATTTTTTGAAGATTGATTAATTATTTATTTTATTTATATAAACGATTATTTAAAGTTATCAATGAATGCAATTTTTATTTTAATTTCGTATTTAATTACCCAACTCCAAATCTATAGTATAATTAATAATCAAACTGAAATTCTATGAATTGACGCATGCATTTGGTCTTTTTTACCATTTGATTTGTATCAATTAATATATTAGTTATTAATTATTTGGTTTTGATTATATTATGAAATGCTAAATTGACAACATGTTCTTTTTAGGTATTGTTTGTCAAAAATAAGTTAATTTATTTTTCAAGTATACGTTTAGATGAACATAAATAACCTTATTGAAACGCTAGTTGTAGTAGCGTTTTAGAAGCTTATTGTCACTTTTTTYAATTACAACACTCATTAATATTAATTATAAACAAATATAAATAATATTAATTATTACTAATATTCATTAATAGTAACTAAATTTAGTTAATTTTAATCATACATCATATATTAATATTAATTGTT